GGGAGGGAATAGAGGGCCAAGAGAAGAAACCCTCTCCCTCGTCTTGAAGTTATCCTGACATTCCTCTTTCCCACCCCGTCCCCGCCCGCCCTCAATATGAGCCCTCGTTTCTGTTTCTGGGCCTTACCCCTCCGCTGACTGGGGGTGGCTCCATGGCGTTGCGTTTGGCATGTCGCGCGGCGCGGGTGGAGTCGGCTGAAGCCGGGGGGTCACAGATGAAAACTTAATCCGCACGCAGGGAGCAGCCGCGAGAGGGAGGGGGAAGGGGGAGGCGGTCCTCCCGAGGTGGACTTTTCTACCCCCGGTGGCCCGTGGTCCTGCTAGCAGGCCCTCGTGCGACCCCCCGGGCCGCGTCCGGTCCTTGTGGCTACCGAACGGGGTGGACACGAGGCAGCGTGGACATCGGGGAGCAGACTGATGCCCGGCGCCGCCGGCGGACCGCGGTCTTCGGGTGAATTCCAGGGCGCGAGCGGTTGCTTATGGCGGGCCAGGGGGCGTTTGGCTCGCTGGGCGCGCCGCCGTCCGCCGCCGGCCCGGGGGGCGAATTCCGCAGCGCGAGGGGGTTGTCTGCCCGGTCGGTCCCGGTGACGGGGATGTCGCCCTTCCCCTGGGCCTGAGGGGTGGAGGGGGCGGCACTGGGGCGACTTCTATTGTGGCGGGAGGGGCGCGGTCACTGCTCGTCGTCGCAGCCCCTGCCCGGCACGCTTCTCTCCACCCTTCGCCAACCTCCCCGCCCCCGCCGCGCCGCGCCTCTCAACTCAAACCCGCAGGCGCGGTGGGGCGCGGAGGGGCGGGGTGGGGTGGGGTGCCGGGTCGATAGCACGTGGTCCCAGCCCGGCCCGGCTAGGCAACCCGCCATGCAGTCAGCCCTGCCCCGCGTAGCCCGGCGTAGCCTCCGGCCCAAGTCACCCAGCACGGCTGCCGGTTGTCGGTGTCGCCGAGGAGGTCCGTCCTGGAGTGCGGTGCGGCCCGACAGAAAGCTTTCTGCCAATCTCTTATCCAGAGGAATCCACCAAGCATTCCGTCCTCCCAGCCTCTATCAGTTTCGCAGCAGACGTCCACCACAATACGTTATCAATAGGTGTCCCTCCCCCTCCTGCGCTGATCTCGTTCCCAGCCGTCCGTTGTCCTGTCCTGCTGCCGGGATGGGCTGGCCCTCGGACCGGGCCGGGGCCTCGGGCTGGCCAGCGCAGGGGACAGGACAGGCGAGGCCCCCCCATTCTCTGCGATCGAAATAACCCGGCGCAGGGTGAAGCGGGCTGGAGCGGACTGAAGCGGGCTGAAGCGGGCTGAAGCCATTCCTGGAGACGGGCGGACACACAGCCGACAGACTGGCGCCCGCGGGCTGGACGTGCCTCCCCGCCCCTCCGGCCCCGAGAAAGGATAAAATATCGGGACAACATAGAATCGCTCGCTCTAATTTATTTCCGGCCCCACTGGTCAATTCCAGCGCCCAATCCGTACATCTGCAGAGTCACCTCCTCCTCACCTCACTCCCCGCCTTCCCGGCCCCCGCGCGTCCTGCCCGGCGGCCCCCCGCCACCGCTGCTCCGCCTCCTCCCGGGCTGTGTGCAGCCGAGTCAGGCGGCGGGGGCCGGACAGGGTTCAGCGGCCTGCACCTGCCCCCCCCCCCCCCTTGAGTCTCGCCCTTCTTCTCGTCCCGAGCACGATAGGTGGGAGGCGCTGGCACGAGGTCTTCCTGCTCGCCGTGGACTTCTAACATGGGCTCACCTTCCTCTAGTAGGCGGGGCAGAAGCGGGGGTCCCGGCTGGGGGAGCCTGCCGCGCCCCGCCCGGTGTGACCCGGCCGCGTTGTGCCATTGCTGATCACCTTTCTCCTCCCGCAGCTGCGGAGCGGTGGGGAAGAGATTGTACACCCGAGCGGACTTGAGCGCCCCGAAGTGGGCTTTGGCTTCACGCACCGCTGCCTGCCGCAGGTCCAGCCGCAGCCGCGGGAGTCGAAGACGAGAGCGTCCGAAAGCTCCAAGGCGCGGCGCGGCGGAGCAGGGGAAACCCAACCCCGCAAGGCGGCGGCGTTCGAACGGCGACGTTGATGAACAGTC